CCAGTACTTCTGTTAGTCTCAAAGGTGCCACAGGACCCTCTGTTGCTTTCTGTATAGATGTGGCCATTGTAGTTCTTAGCCACAAGGTGAATGTCAGCACAATACAGAATTATTACCTGGTAGAGATTTTTCCAGGGTGTAATATGGTGAAGAAATTCAGCTCATTAAGAGCAAGGCTACATAAGAGTATAGGGCTCTCTGCTTCTTGATGCAAACTGTGCTGAGACAGTTTACCAGAACATAAAACAGGGAGACACTACTTGCAGTGCAGAAGTGAGCTCTGCTTCCCCAGGAGGTTGTGGGTAAGGCCCCATGAAGAAATCAGCCGGAGCTTTCTGAGAGGAAGCTGAGTTGGATTTGGCCCTTCATTTGTAGACAAGAAAAGATCCCATAACAGGTGTTCTAGTGGCTGGCCCGAGGATGGGGATATGGCTGCTGGGCAGTGACTTGGATTTATTTCAGATTTTGATGCCCATAAATGCACGTCTAACACACAAATGCTGGCAAATAGCAACAAGCCGTGTATATCTGCCTCCTTCAAACCCTTCCTCCAAACGGACTCCTCTCGTATTTTCTGTCACTATCTCAACTCGGGTGCTTTCTGCTTCTTTCTTTGCACCTGGTCATATTAAAAATGAAGAAGAAGAAGAAGAAGATACCAAGGAGGGAAACCAAATAAATGATCTGCATCCTTGGTAAATATCTGGCATTAGAGAAGTCTTCCTCTGTGTTTTCCATTGTTCATGCTTCCTCCCTGTCTACACCACAGCTGGTTCTCATTTCTCGTCATGTCTCTCTTGTTTGAATTCTAAGCTCCTCGGGGCAGGGACCTCATGTAAAGCTCTAGGCGTAGTAGTAGCACCATACTCAATAGTGTGTTAAGAAGTGGACAAGCAATCAATGCAGTGGAGAGAAGGGTCTGATAACAAAGTGGGAGAGTCTGAGCTTCATTCTAATATAATGTTTGTTCGATCATTGGCAGAATTTCACATTTCAGCAGTTTAATGCTTCTCTTAGAGCTCTCCAGCCTGGTCCTGAGCTCCTGTAAGCCAGTTTTACAACTGTGTGACTCCACTTAATTGGGTGGAGTGACTCCTAATTTGCACTAGCAGAAGTGAGGTGAAGATTGGGCCCATTGTCTCAGGCTGTCTACAGGCAGGTGCAGGAAGACAGCAGCGCATTGGGCCATCTTTGGAAGGTTTTCTTCATAGTCTAGAATCTTTTTTTTTTTATGAAAATTTAAATTGCACCGGAACTGAAAGAGCCAGCACAGAAGCCGTTAGTTGTATTGTCAGGTACCATCTCAATCCAGTCACCGGAGGGAATGATTGACAGGCAGAAGGGGAAGAGATGGATTAGATCAGTGGTCCCCAACCTTTTCCGTGGGGCGGGCGCCAGACGACTAGCCACCAAGGACTG